CTCACTTCTCCGGCTCAAACGGAGCCTTTACCGATCAGCAGCGCAGCTGTTGCTAGTCCTACACTTTGGACTGAACCATTGTTCTAACAATAGTGGGGGGGACCTAAAAATTAATTATTATTTTTTTCTTAGATGAATGGCAGATTTACTTCGTTCTTTGTTTCTATTGTCGTTTTTATATTGATATTGTAAGGGTTGATACACAAGGATTTCTTTCATGATTTCTTTGGGGGGGACAATTCTAGACTTTTCCAAGTTTGGGGGTCCGGATCTCCCCCCGTCCCTCGACATTTACGCCCATGATGTCTATGTTTACGCCAATGACTTTTTCAATGACAGAAGACTGGAGCTCAAGTAGGCTGAACGCGCTCTCGAAGCGCAACCGGTGTCAGTTCTCGCGAGGCTAGTGATTTAATTCCGCTTGGAGAGGCACAGAAATTATTTTAAATTAATATATCATAATGCGGGAACTTTACTTAACAATACTAATACGGGAGCGCGGCGGGAAAAATACGTTAGTTTCCCGACCAAAACTTGGTCGGGAAACTAACGACAAACTTGACAAGGTATATGCCCTATGACGTCACTAACAGGATGTAACTGAATGATGACACATCAAAGGCTTTGATATCTTTTGAGTTACTGTCTCCTTCAATGACTCTTCACAAACAAAAGTTCTAAGAGTTCTCTCTCTCAAAAGCGTAGAATTGTGTTGTGCAGACTTTTAAAGAACAAATGAATATAAAAAGGATATTTTTTAATTATCCCAGTGTTCCTGACCCTACGGAGAAGGTACTTGAAAGACAACAGCTGCAGCTGTTTGCAACAAATATAACGCTTAGGCTGCTGATCGAAAGCGGGATTTTAAAAGCTTTAGATCAGCTCGGCAAAGAGGAAATCGCTCTCATCACCAAAATCAGAGACAGAGTGACAGAAGGTATCACAATCCCAAAGAATTTTTCTACAACATTAAAAAATCAGAAACGTATGTGCAGGAAGGTTCTTGATGAGCTGAAAAATACACACAATAGCTCAGAACTAGATCATTTGTTGACAACAAAGGATGAAAATCTCATTGCTAAGATGATCGAGCTGTTGCGAGAAGCAATGAAAAAGGTCTTTAAAGATTATGAGAACAGCTTTCTCAGAAAGCTGTGTATGGCAGAAGTTGCAGGATATGCTATTGCATTAACTACCGTAGTTATTGTAGGATTGATAATAATAATGCTGTAACACTAGTTAGTTTGAGTTCAAACAATTTGAGGAAACTGATTTAAACAGTTAAAGTTCATTTTAAGTCAAATATTTTCATTGTTTATAATTTAAAATGTCTTTCACCACGTGCAACTCCAGAGTGGAAGTATGTCCAGCCCCTCTCAAGGTGACTGGTTTCAGAACCAGTCACCTTGAGCCATGTGTCAAGGTGAGATGCATGGCTCACCTCGATCCAGCCTTACCTCTATCCAGCCTTACCTCTATCCAGCCTCCCCTCGATCCAGCCTCATGTTGGGGGCTGGATGCCTGACCCACATACAGAAACACACCAGGGAAACTTGGAAATCAGATTAAGCTGATTTATTTTACAAATGTCAAAAATGACAGCAAGTGGGGTTCTTGATTACTGGTCATCAAACCAGGCTGGTGGGACACTAGGGAGAGATGAAAGCACAGGTAAGATATGTACCTCTGCAGTCTGTGAGAATTTGATGACTGACTGAGTAGCTTACTGGATAGGTGGAGAAGAATCCATCTATCCAGTAAGCTGGGGTTAGGTTGGTTCTGGGGAGGGAGCTGAGAGCTGACAGATGGTTTTGACTTGCATTGGAGGGCGGAGAGACTCACAGGCAGTGGATGAAGATTTCATTTTATAGTTTCAATGTTAAAAGAATGTTAAATGTTAAAGAAGCAGGCTGCACAGTGGCGCAGTAGGTAGTACTGTTGCCTTGCAGCAAGACCCCAACCGGGGTCTTTCTGCACGGAGTTTGCATGTTCACAGTAAAAGAAATTTCGTAAAAAAACAGAAAATATACTGGCAGAAAATTACTAGGACATTTTCCTGTTTTTTTTTTATGGAAAACAGGAAATTTCTGAGGGAAATTCTGTAAAAAATAAAAAACTGAAAATATCCTGCCAAAAAGTTACCAGGACATTTTCTGTTTTTTTTCATCCAGAATTTCCATCAAAATATTTTCCATAATTTAACAGTTTATGTCAAATTTACCAATATTTTGTCAACCCAAAACTGAAATTCTGTCTTTTTACTCTGTCTTGATATATTCACAAACTTTTTTAAAAACCTTGGACATTTCCAAATACTTTTGTCTTCCAAACTATTGAAGTCTGTATTTTATAACATATGTTAATTATAGAGTCAAATATATTAAAGTTAATGTATTTAATATACTCTTAACGTAACTTTGAAACAAAACTAATTTCTAAGTCCACAGGAAATGTAGTCACAAAACACTGAGTTTGAAAGCAGCTCATGCAAAGTGATATAAAAATGAAACCATTCAATTTGCAGACCTTATTTTGCAATTTAAGACCATAAATTGACATGTCATCCAGTCTTTATAAATAGCCTTTGTTATGAGCTAAACATTTTCTTGAGCTTTCTGTTTATCTTCTGTACATCACAACTAATTTATTGCATTTAACTATACACATTTTCAACTTATAAATTAAATGTAAAGCAGCATTGACTCTAGTCTTTGAAGTCAAATAAACCATTTTGTTAATTAGTATAAGATGGAACATACAAAAATTGCTTTGGATCATGAAAATCATAGTTGTAAACAGGAACAACGTACTTCAAAATACATGCCGAAAGTCAACCACTATTTTTTATGAAATAAATATTCAGTTAAAAATCAAACACATAAACACAGCCTAATGCCAACGACAGTGGAAGACACTGGATTCATGAGTGTGTGCTTTCATTACCTCTAGTCGCTGTGAACATAAAACAAAACAGTCCATTTTATGTTCTGCAAAAAAAAAAAAAAAAAGGTTAATCCAACTCTTGGGTCCAGATACCAAGAAGTTGAAATTAACCAATCAGAGTAAAATATGAATATGGATAATTTTATGTCAAACAAATAAGTTATATACACAGATCCAGCAGCCTCTGATTTGGTGACAGATGCCACGGGCTCGTGTCATATTGTAGAGAAAATCACATGCCAAAGATAGGTTGGACCAAAAACAAAAACCTCTCACGCTGTTTAAAATTTCACGCATTTTTAATGGCTAGAATTTGCTTGGAATTCTGTCCACTAGGAGGAGGCTACATTGAAGAGCTGACGAGACAGAGATCAGAGTAAGTTTTGTGCTTCAAAAAAAAACTTCTAATGGCTTTTAGTTTGACTAAACCTTTTAAGAGACTAAATAAACTCTCATATTCTCTGATGTTAATAATATGTAAGAAAAAAAAAGTTTTTTCTTCGTGACATTCATTACTTTTTAGTTATCAATTATTTGTGAAAACCACGGCTTATGTTGAATTTTGGGACATTGTGTCGGAGTACTTCATCCTGTCGTAAATAGACATTCTTTGTCTTGAAGCACGTCGTCAGTTCCGTAAAGCGTTTCCCTTGGCTTCACACACCAGGGTTATTTACGTAGTCCTACTGTACACGGATCGTAGAGTTAACCATTACCTTGAAATGTGTTTCCGGTATTCTTAAGCAGGAGTTTTTCTCTGTCTTTTCCCATAAGGACAGACAGTTTGCAGGACATTCAGCTCTGAATCTCGCAGGAAACGGGATGCATTGCAGCTAGCTTGCTATTAGCTTTCGCGTTAGCTTTGCGAAGAGCGCTGTATCAACGAAGGGACCAGGCACACCATCGTAAGTCAAACTGTCTGAAAATGACATGCCAGTATTTTAGCCATTTTTAATATATGCAGCTGTATAATTCTTATGCACACAAGCTCACATGTTGAACAGATATTTCTTGGGATTTAGGTTGTTTTCTCTGACCACTTTAGCCAGCTTCTCAGTAACAGCTGCATACGTGATGTTCAACTGAAAACGTGGCTTTTAAAGAAAAAACTTAAATGTCACTCACAGATTCCTATCAATCAATCAATCAATCAATCAATCAAGCTGTTGTTGTCTCGTTGTTCTTATTGTTATGTGCATATTGAAATAGGATTGACACTTTTCTATGCGAATGAGGGTGAGAACCTTTGCACCTGTTCTGCTGCATCTGCCAGGACTCAGTAATGCTTGCCATGCTTCAGTTCCCATCCTAGTTCCCACTTTCTACCGGACTTATGTTTTAAGGGATTTTGAGTGCAACAGTTGAGCTCACATGTAAATGTATTTATTATTATTTTTTTAATAATGTAAAGAGTTGTAGATCTGGTTTTAACCCACGTCTACGACAGTTTTTTTTTTTTTAATGTTTTTCTTTCTTAACATCTGATTATCTTGAGTCCCAGCTTATCTAATTCACGGATTCATTCAGGCATTCATTTAACTCATTTATAAATGCATCTATGCAAACCAATAGGCCATAGATTCATATCGGCAGTTATCTCTTAACGTTCCTAGTGTGCATATTGTTTTAATAGATATAGTTCTGTAGTTGATATGTAAAGTCAACAGACCTTGTCCATATCTAAGTGAGTCCTTGCTGTGGAAAAGCCTGTTAAGTGAAGTCAGAGGCAGTGTAAACAAGCAGGTTACAATTCCTTCAGTAGTGTTTTATCTGTACTTCCAGGCTGCTCCGGTGGAGCCGTTTTTAGTGAGTGGTCAAACTTGTGGAAACCTGTTAAACATGCGGCAATTCATTGGAAGCTGAATACACAACACACACACACATACACACACACAAATAATGCTTTTTCTGATATTTGATGACAAACATGAAAATAATCTGGCATCCTGATGTTTGAAAACCCCACACACTAACATGGTTCGGACTGTCGTCTTTGCATTATGAACTAGTTTTCCACTGCTCCTTTGATGACTCGATCTTCTTAAATGCTTTGTCAAAATATAATTGGAAGCAATTTTTGTGTACCAAACTGCACAGACGCTCTACCGATTGTAATTGTTGTAATCTAATAGTCTATTTCAAACCATGTAAGTTTTATTTAACAGAAAGTTAAAATAAGTACTTAACAAATCAAGAATTTTCCAAATAAATCTATATTTCTAAAGCTGCACTTGGCATGATGCGTGCAAAGAAATAAAGCCATATGTTAATATATAACATGGAATGATACAGAAAAGTAAAGCATGAAAAAAGGAGGCACAGAAAATAGTTTCCTTTAACAGTTGATTCTTCTTCCCTCAGCAAAAGCTCCCACATTGATATGTGTTGTCTTTGTGACATGAAAATAGTGTCATTCTTTCATCATTAAAAAATCAGACTGACCTGTAACCAGTCAGCACTGATGAAGCAGAAGATCTGCAAAATTCTGGGTTAGTAGTAGGACACAAGTTATTTAGAAATATCCTGTAACAGTTTCTATTGGCATTTGCTTGGATTTCTCATACGGCTCCTCTTCAGTCTTGATGTTTTCTAGATCAACTAAAGAAAAACTAAAAATAGATACACTGCTACTGGGTGTCCAGCAGTATCTTTTGCTGAGTATTTGGTCATGCTTTCATGTGTAATATATAAATCCAAATGAGTTTGATCTCTTAAGATAACTTGAGAATGTTGACATAAACCTTTCCCTTTTTTGTCAAAGCTGTTTTTTCTGGGGGCAGTAAGTGCTGGTAACCCAAGCATGATTGAGTTTTAGAGTAAGAGTGGCCACTTCACTTGAGCAGATCATTGCCTCTTTGTCTGTGTGCATATAGAGGAGGTGGGGGGCTGTAATAGGTGTGTTGTTTTTATTCTGAGCAGCAGCCTTGCTCTTTGAAATCCACCTCCGCTGTTAGTGGTAATTATATTCCCATCTGCTTCATTGATTTGGCTGTTTTAACTAAGTTCTGCGGTCTATCCTCTTCCAGGCTGCGGTTAGGCCTTTTAATTCCCTTTCCTCTTTTTGTCTTGCAGACAGAGTGCATTATGACGGACAGTGTTATGAGTAAAGCAGCCACAATGGAGATTCCTATTAACAGTAATGGCGACACGGGGGCATTAGCAGAAGACGACAGCCTTGAACAGGTGGGTGACACTTGGCTGACAATGTTCATGTGACATTTTGAAATGGCACTGCAGAGCCAACAAAACCCAATTTGTAACCTCTTACTCAAAATACAGCAAACACAACACAGTTTGTATGTGCAGGACTTGCTTAATATTTTATGTACTGCCTGGTTATTTTTTGGATGTTGTTTTATATGGTATAAATTAATTGCTCTCATGGACTGTCCTGATAAGGGAATGTTGTTTTTAGTTTTTCCAACACAAGTTATAAAGGGGAGTGGTCTAGATTTTGACATTCCCAGATGTGAAGACTTCGTTGCTGCGGTTCTTGCGTAAAGCTCATGTGTAGAGCAACTAAAACGCATCCAAACTTCAGCTGAGGAAGTCAACAAACACTGAGCACACAAAAACACAACTTCAGTTGTCGTTCTAAGCATTCTGTCAACATTTGAAAAGTCACTTTAACTTATTTTGATTTAAGTTTAGCTCTCATTACATGCTATCATTGTTTATTGAACTTATTTTTTTTCATTATTTGTAGTTGTAAAGGTTTTTTTTGGTTTTTTTTTCCTGTCAGGATTATGGATTTGGGTTATGTTCCCAGCTGTCACATGATTAGCTGAGTGGGATTGTTCTGTTCATGCCATTCACCCCACAATCTGTGAAAACATGTACCAAAACGTCTCCTCTTAGAAGCTGCAAGTTACTTTGCAGTCATCTAGTTATGTTTTCGTCCCCCCACTCTTTTATTTGTTTACTCATTTCAGTTTTATTATCATTTCAGATACTGAACATATATTGTTGACTTGTATTTCTGACTTTTGTTTTTCTGTCCACATAGCTTTGTGTTGTACTGGACAGCTTGCTTGTCCACAGGAGAGGGAGATCAGGTATTGGAAATCAGGCGCTGTAGTCCAGCTGTCTCCTTGGAAACCCTTTGCTCTTTCACACAACTCTTGTAAGCTTGTGTATAGGATTACACTTTCGTCTCTGGTGTGTTTAAGGAGCCAATTCTGTTACAGAAGGCTTCTCGTCTATTCTGATATCAAACCTTTATCTTATTATTGAATATGTTTTCAGAAGACCAGAAGGGGCTTCATTTATTTTGACAGCTTTCTTTAAAGATGTACACTGTATGTTTCTCAGAAAACACCCCACAATCCTTTTACTTTTGCTATTGAATGATTTTCTTACATTCTGATATCTTTACCTACTGCACAGCTTACCACATTAATACAGCTGGAACAAAAACCTTTGTAGGAAAAGACGTCACTTTTGAGGTCTCGGACTGGAAAAGGGTTGTTGATTTTCCGACATCCTTAGGAACGCCTTGTTGGGCAAACAGAACAAAGATCCTGGAGGAAGCTTTTACAGTTATTTATTATTTGCTCACCAAATTGTATGCCTGCGCTCAAGTTGTAAAAGGGTTCCTGCTTCCAATAGTAAGTCAAATATTCAACAGGTTTGGGTTGCCAGCTCATTCTCATGTGTTTATTTAAGAGAGGTGTTCAACTGTTCTGTCTGTTGAGCAGCTGTCATAGCAACCATGCAATTTGAAACTAGCAGGGTTTTGTCCTTGGGTGACAGCTCTCTAGAATCAGATTGGTAACTGCCGTGTGTGAAGCTGAAGCAGCCTGTGTCGGTCATGCACAGAAACATTAAGATTGGCAGAATAGAGAGCAGCAATTGGTTTCAGATGGTGCATGTGTCAGAACAGGGGTGGTGACTGTCAGCTTGATGGAGAAAGGGCTGACACTCAAGGAGCTCCCTGGCTAACATGGGAAGCAGCCTTTTATTGGTCAGTTCTGTTGCTTGGACAGTGATGAACAATATGTTAGCTAATAGATGAGTCACTGAAGAGTTTCTCCTCTTTATGCTTTGTCATTTTTATTTATTTCGAGCAAACACCGCACTGCAAATGTGCAATGAGAAAGCCATGTCTGTCAGTTTTCACCCACGTTGAGCAGATGCCGCAACATTGGTTAGTGCTGTAAAATAAAATACAAAGTTCTTGTTTTGCTTCTTAAAATGGTTGCATTCTGCAAGAGAAATCAAATGTTTTCAAAAGTATTTGTCAGGTACTGCAGCTGTGTTATTTCTATTATCTGTTCAAATAACAGCACATTTTTGATTACTGATTTTTTAAAGCACCGACCTGCTGAAATAGATTTTAGCTTATTATGGTTACCAGTGGTAAAATAAATATTTTTTTGGAGAAATGGAAAACATGAATTGATAAAACATACATTAGTATAAGAGAAGAGTGATTTCTCCAAAACTTCCTGGACTTGTAGTGTTATCTCTATCTCTCTGTTGCACTGAAAAAAACTGAAAAACTCTAAATAAAACCCAACTGAAAATAATGACACTCATCATTTACTCCTTTACAAGACTGATAATTTCTCACCATCTTGTTCTTTTTTTGTTTTGAAGTGGACCATATCCTGAGATATTTGACATTCTTCAAAAAAAGATTATTTCAAAAATAATCACATTTGAAGGGGACTGTTAATCTTTTTATGGCATAGTTCACCCGTTGAAGGTTAGTTGAAAGTTTCTGTCACTAAAGAAATATCTCTTGTTAGGGTAGAGTCTCTGGATGAAAAAGCTGTTTAATAAAAAAAAAAAAAAGCCTGGTTCATAGGATTTTCCTAACGTTTTAAAACATAGACATTTTTATGACAGAGGTCATAGCCATCAACACGATTAGTGTGGTTGGGATTAGGGCTTCAAAATGTATTATTGCATTACCAGGGTGTGCAAGATTAATATAGCAAAGAGATGTATCCAGTTGATCATTTTATCTCAAGTGTCAAATGTATTCATAAATAATATAGTATATTGGATAAAGACTCACTTATTCCACACCTGTGATAGATAATAGTTCCTAATCACACAGAGAGTACTGGAGACATTATGTCAGACAGAGAGGCATAAGGTTGATGTAAATCCAACTTAACTGACATAATCATGTGCAGCTGTATATTTTCATATTGTTGTGCATCCCTAGTTAGGACTAGCTATGAATTCTCACACAATGCTGCGGTGCTGTGGATGAAGCCCGTGTCTCAGGGGGATGTGAGGAGAAAATCAGTTACCGTCCACAGTCGTGCCTGTTATGTTAATCACTCTAAATGTTTTTTTTATTTTGTTTTGTTTGAATGTTTGTCATTTGTTGTGTATCTATAAGTTTTATTCCCACATTTGTGTTTGTTTTTCATTTAATTTGCCGTGATGAAATAATTGTGAAATCGGTCTTATTGCATATCAGCTCATGCTTTAAAATCAGCGAGCCAAACAATGAGTGAGTGACGGTGTCCTTCCTCGCTAGTCTGCATCTTGCGTCATCACTCCTGTCTGTGGCCGTTACAGTAACCTTTTGTTGTACATGTCGTCTCATCCTTTGAGTTATGAGTTTTTAATTTTGTCTCTCCTTCTGTTATTTTTTTAAAACTTGTTGTTGTGTTTGTCGACCCCACCCCCCACCCTTCCATCTCTGTGCAGGCTGCAAAGCTGCAGTGGAGCTTAGATGAGAAGGTAGGGAGCTCCAGAGGCACCAGGGTGAGCAGGCCATTCGTGCATTTGGGTTTGTGGTGTCGGTGTTGTTCTGTTCAGTGGGTTGTTTTCTCTCTCTCTCTCCCCGTCATATCAGGCTCTAATGGGAAACGTATGTGCTGTGTTTCATACTAACAGTTGCTAGGAGTCTGTTAAATGTTTCGGGGTGTCCGTCCGACTGACTCGCATTAACAAACAGCTTCTAGTTAACTCAAAGTTATTTAATCTGGATTGTTTAGAATGTGCTCATTTGACCTACTTTCTGTGTGCTTTTTGGTGATGCCTGTGGGCAATTATTTTTTATTTATTTATTTATTTTTTTTTAAATCTCTTGCAGGTTAGCATTGACAAGCAGAATATATAGTATTATTCTTCTAAACATTGTGTTCTACCAAATCTGTGTTTTTATGTTTGTTTCACTCCACTTCCATTCTGATGTCATTCCTTTTATTGTTTGAAATGTGTTTTTAAGGTAAGGAGGAACTTTCTGGGGTTAGAGCTCTGTCTTCACAAATTGAAAATTATGTTAAATGTACTTGGTATGTTTCACTTCAAACGGTAAAATGCCCCCCCCCACCCTCTTTTATTTTCACTTCCTGTCATTAGTCTTAATCATACTTTTTGTATTTGTCTACTAAAAGGAAATGGCTTCCGCAATCCGGAGCTATTTTCTGCATTTTTCCTTATAAAAACAAACTGTAGGAAAAGGCTTTCATTTGTCTTATCGGAGTCTCATAATGTTTCATCAGCGTCTCCCCGCTGTGGTGCTGAACACGACACTCTGCCCTGCATGTTTTAGATGTTTACCTTGTTTAAGACACCTGATGCAGAGGATTGCAGTTCAACAAAAGCCTGTTAATCAGCCATCATCAGAGGTGTGCTGAAGCAGTGAGACTTCTAAAACATTCAAGGTGGTGCGCCTTGTGGGCAAGGGTTGAAAAATACTGATATACATTGTAAAAAAATAAATAAAAAAAATCTTTCATCACATGTAGCTATATTAGCAAATTAGTAAACCAGCTTGTTGCTTTTCAGAAACAGTGTCAGTCTTAAAATAAAATAATTTTAAGGTTGTTATAAACCACATCTACTGAAATATTTATAGTAGTAGTTATCATTGTGTTGAAGTAAAATAAGAGGATTTATTTGAGTAAATTCATGTCAGTCTGGTGTTTTGCCTGAAAGTGAATATGTCCATAACAAATGTTTCTTTCACCTTGTACTTTAATAAATAATACCAACTGGTAAAGTGAAATATGTTAAAATGAACACATATTTGACCAGCACTATTGTGTTTTAAGCCTTTTCTTCCCTTTGGCTTCTTACCATAGTATTATTTGTCCCAGTCGAGGATAGACTTTTACTGTTTTATGTCCAGCAATGTAATATTAACACTGAAGTTATAATGCCTATATGTCCATACCCAACCCCAGTGCTCAACATGTTTGTTGTTATTCTATTCCTGTTGTGGTTATCAGGATCTACAGCAGGTGATGGTATCAGGTCCCAATCTCAACGAGACGAGCATTGTTTCTGGAGGTTATGGAGGAGCAGCTGAGGGGATCATTCCCACCGGCTCCATTAAAGGTACTGCTTCAGTCCTTCTTGAGTTGGGCTTCCTTATGTGTCCAAGCCGGTATTCCTTGTGAAATATGTTATTTTTGTATTTTCCAATAACTTATGTTTAAAATTGAGATATGAGATTAAATCACAATAGTAAGGAATTGGTAAAATAAAATAAAAAAAACTAACTAATGGGCTTAGTTTTAAGAACATTATCCTTAAGCTCATTGTTAAAAATATTGATCACGATCACCACTTGACTCCTGGTGTTCACCAATGAGGAATTTGCTATTTGACTACAATTTTTTACAAACATGCCACTATTTTTTTTATTTTGGTGTGATATCATTTATTGTTATTTATTTCTTTTTCTCAGGCCCTGCTGTGTGCTACAATCCTGAGTTTAACAAAAGGATCCCTGTTACAGGATTTGGTGGCCTAGATTTAATTATTACTTGTAATCAAGAGCTTCTTTCCAAAATGTAACCTAAAAAATATGACATTTAGGAGTTTGTAGAGGTTATGAACAAATTTCCAATGCTTTCTTTGAAATGGATCAAATTTAAGGTGTATTTCATTTTATTTTATTTCTGTATATATTTCCAATCTTTCTCTCATGAAAAATTACTCATTTTGGAAATATGCTCTCTTTACGGTGTGGGTGATCTGTTTTAAACTGTTGGGGGATGTTCCTGTTCTGCACTTCTGCCTTACTGGAGATGGAGGTTAATAAAGGCATTCTTACCTGCTTTCTTCTTTTTCTGAGTTTCTAAAGGTGAATGGTACAGGATACTTTAACAGAAAAATAAAACGATAAACACACAAGTTCGGATTTTAACCTGACTTGGCTTTTGTCCATTTCAAAGAAAACGGGACGCATGAGGGGAGATGCAAACAATCATGTCAATATGTAGATAATTTAACCAACTGTTTGTTCTTAACCTGTGTTTCACGACTTGCCACGTCCTTCGAGTTAAGGCTATGAAATGAAACCAAAGTGTTTCCGTTAGGTGACCTTACGGCTTTTTGACTCTTCATGAAAGCTTTAATCAGCTTTCATGAAGAGTTCGCAGCTAAAGCAACGCAACCTACGCTATCATATAAAATGTAAAAATATCGACAAAAGTAATATTGTATTTATTTTTTGTCATATTCAGTTATTGCTAATTATCCAGGTCTTCATCCTGTTTTGTATAGCCTTAACTCAGTCTTCCACATATTTGCTCACGTCTGCATTGTTCACCGACTGTTATGCAATAGATGTTGTCTTTTTATCTTTGTTCTTCTGGCTGCTGCTTGTCCTTCACTTTCTTTTCAAATTTGCCTCCTACACGTACACTTGCTGTCTTCTACATGTGGTGCCATAATTTTTTTTCTCCTTTCTGGCTTTTATTTTATGTTGCCTTCTTTTTGCCTCGCAGTGTTCGTACCTCCAGACATTTTTCACATTGTCACATAATGACCAAAAACATAAGTGTATTTTATCAGATTTTAGAAACATTTTATGAGGGAGTTTAATGTTTTTGTTTCAAACTTTTCCGTAAAGTCTGAATAGTGGGGCTTGCATTTGTATTTATCAACTACCAACAACCAAGTTCTTATTTTTTTTTTTTTTAGTACCACTTTGGTGAAGTCTCTCTATCAGCTTTACTTATTTAGAGACTGAGTTTAATACCATTTTTGGCAGCTTTACTCTCCTTGGAGAAAAGCCAAACAGCATAATCCTGCCACCACCGTGCATCACCATGGGGATTGTGTGTACAGTTACATGTGCAGTTTTAATTATTTAGATAGTTGCCACTATAAAGGTCTTGTGGAATTTATCTGTTCATCTGCTTAAAGATCATCATCATATTACTGTTTTCTTTGCTCCTAATTCATTCAGTCATTTAGGGGCTGGTTGTGGGTATCTTTAATCGTTTTCAAATGCTTCTTGCATCGAGGAGTCAGAGATGTCTGCTTAGGCATATATTACCTGAGATCGAGCTCATCTTCTTGAAAGTTTAGCTTATGTCTGTTGTTTACTATCCGTGTCTACTTGTATGTTTCAGGTCCCAACATGCAACACAGCACCAGCAGCAGCTCGATGACGGCAGAAGAGGCAACGCGTGGTGTGGCTGTGGAAAAATATGAAGCAGTGAAGAAATGGGGTTTAAACACCTATAAGGTATCTGAAAGGCTGTTTTCATAAATGAGAGGGACGGCGATGTTGTGCTAATGACAAAATATCAGGCTTTCCAAACCAAGACTGCCTCATTTGTCTTTACAAACAGTCACTGAACGAACTGAATTGTGTTATTCATGTCTTTCTGTGGCTTCTTTTGTTTCAGTGTACGAAGCAAATGATCTCAGAGCGTTTTGGTCGCGGCTCTCGGACTGTGGATCTGGAGCTGGAGGCTCAGATAGAGGTTCTGAGGGACACCAAAAGGAAATATGAAAATGTGCTGCGGTTGGCCAAAGCGCTGACCAATCATTTTTACAACATGGTGCAGACACAACACGCATTGGGTGACACGTTTGCTGATCTCAGTCAGAAATCTCCAGAGCTACGAGTGAGTCCTCCAAAAATGAGCATTCTACATGTTGAACTGTTCTTGAATGTTTTAATGGAAAATTGGATTCATTTAGAAAACAATGAGGAACTCGCTTCATTCTTTACAGGATGAGTTTGGCTACAATGCAGAGACCCAGAAACTACTGTGTAAGAATGGGGAGACTTTACTTGGTGCCATTAACTTCTTTGTATCCAGCATTAACACGTTAGTCAATAAGACAATGGAGGACACTCTGTGGACAATCAGGATGTATGAAAATGCGAGGTAAGCAGATTTAAAAAGGCACATTCAAAAACAATACATCTTCATCTCTGGATGAAGATGAATTTAAAATGTTTTTTCAGTTAATGGATCTGTAGAAAAATGCTTCTATCAATTTGATAAACTTGAAAAACAACTTTTTACAGATCTTTGTTGAAAAACCAAAATAAAAGCTAGTTTGAGACAGTTGCCAATAAATGTGCTGCTTCTGACGAACTATTAAAACATTATACTTTTTCCCCCTTTTTTCGTTCTCATTAAAAATGGCACTCTCAATTACTTAAAATTAACTTTTCATTACTGAAAGATACAAATATGGTTTCATTATGTACATATTGTTAATATTTTTTAGTGTATATATACATTATCTATGAATTTGCTTGCAAACTTGCAGTATTAAGAAAGCCTGTCAGTGATTAACTGAATAACATGCAGTTGCTGCCACCCAGTGGGAGGAGAGTAATAAAACAGTTTACATATGAAGTATTGTTGTACTGGAAGTAAATGTTTGCTGTACAAGAATGTTTAGCTTTTCTCTGAATATTTGAATATCCTTTTCTGATTCTAAATATCTGTACATTCTCTGTTTCATTTTGTGTGTGCTCAGACTGGAGTTTGATGCCTACCGGTCAGACCTTGAGGAGCTGAGTTTGGGTCCCAGAGATGCAGTGACCATGGCTCGTATAGATGCTGCACAAGAGCAGTACCAAGTTCATAAGGAAAAGTATGAACGCCTTCGCTCAGATGTTATCATTAAGCTCAAATTTCTGGAGGAAAATAAGGTTAGTCTGTGTTGTGGGTCTAAATCGTTGTTGTTTTCTAAATGCTAAAAAGTTGGCACGCTGTGTTTGTTTTTTTTTGTGATCTGAGCAAACCAAACCTAAACCTGCATATGATTTTCCTTTTCCCCTCCATCAGGTGAAGGTAATGCATAAGCAGCTCCTTCTCTTCCATAATGCCATCTCAGCGTACTTTGCTGGCAATCAGCAGCAGCTAGAGCAAACGCTGAAGCAGTTTAACATAAAGTTGAGGCCCCCAGGGGCCGACAAGCCTTCCTGGTTAGAAGAGCAGTGAGAGGCCCTGCAGGAATCCTTGCAGCCTTCGTCTCAACCACCTACACCTGTTACCTTTTAAATCACCCAGCTTGCAGAGGACCACTACAGAAGGAAACAAACTGAGATAAACTGGTGGATGAAGATGCTGAGATCTTTTTTTTTTTTTTTTTTTTTTTTTTTTTTAGGGGGGGGTTTTTTTTTTTTAAATTTAATGGAGGAAAAAAAAAAGGGGCCGTTTTAAAAAAAGGG